CGCTAGGAAGAGATTTGCACTCCCAGGAGACCATCACAGGGGCTGCTGCCCCATCAGGATCCCTCCCTCCTTGCCGCTCCAGTGGCAGGGGTGGGGGCATGGTCAGAGGCCAGCCAGCATGGCCTCCTTAGGTGAAGGGGGCAGGGAAGGAGTTTATTTCCCCCCTCCCTCTGGCATCTGGTGAAGGGGCCAGGAAGGGGGCTTATTCCACTGCTTGCCCCACACAAGGAGCGATCAGTGGAGGCAGCAGTTGGGGCTAGCAGACCCTGGCTGCAGTTCCCTAGGGGCAGAGGGGGTGAATGGGGCCTGGCCCCTTTGCCTTAGGGGGCCATGCCGGCTGGTGTCTGGCCATGCCCCTGCTTCCACCCCTTCTGCTGCAGCAGTGAGTGGGGAGTGCCAGATCGGGTCCATGCCAGTGGGACAGGGAGTGGGAAATTAAACCCCCTCCCTGCCCAGTTCACTTGGGGCTACTTCCAGGGCTGGCCACACCTCCTGCTGCTCCAGCAGCGATGGGGAGGGTCAGGGGAAGGGATGCCTGACAGAGGCTGCTCTCCCTTGGCCAGGCAGACCCCAGCTGGGGTCCTGGGAGAGAGATATGGGGGGTAATAAACCTCCTCCCTGCCCCTCTCACCTCAGGGGGCCATTCCAGCTGGCACCTGGCCACACCTCTGCCACCCCTGCAGCAATGTTGGGGGGACCCTGACACAGGCTGCTGCCACCCAGCCAGGCAGGCCCTGGCTGGGGTCCATGCAGCTGGGACAGGGGATAGAGTGGAGAATAAACCCCCATCTCTGTTCACTTCATGCTGCTGCCAGGGCTGACCATGCCCCCACCGCTGAAATAGTAAGCAGAGAAATGCCTGGCAGGACCTGCTGTGCCCTTGCCTGGCAGACGCCGGCTGGGGTCTGTGCTGGTGAGGCAGGGGCAGGAGGCAAGGGAATAAACCTCTTCCCTGTCCCCTTTGTCTTAGTAGGGCCAGCATCAGGCTGCATCCCTGCCCCTGCTCTGTATAGGGAGCAGAGGGATAGGGCCAGCCCTGCTTTGCTGGAGCGGAGAGCACAACCCAGCTCAGGACTGTAGAGCATGCTGGGATGCTGGGGGACTCTGGTTTAACTTAAACCAGGATCTGGGAAAGAAGTTCCACAAACCAGTTTGACCTCAGTCAGTTAAGGCTGATACTACATTCAACCAGGTTTATATCAAACTGGCTTCAGACATTTTGAAACTGGTTTATGTGCACTGAATTTATGTTCTGTTACAGGTTTAAACCAGTTTCTGCTCACTTAAACTGGTTTATGTGTAACTTCTGTCCCTAGCCCTGGTGTGGAGGGCAGAATACCAGGCATAAAAGTAGCATTGAAAGCCTCAGAGAAGCTATTAGAGGTAGATCAGATTCCAAAATAGGAGTACAGATGAGTGACTTGCGTACATGGGAGACTGAATCATCTTGTTCATAACTGACCCTCAACATAAGGAGAGCAATTCAAAAGGGAAAAACTGCAGACAAGCCTTGGGTAAATTAAAGAAGGGTAGGAAAAAGGGAAAACAAATCAACTCATGCTGTGGATATCAGATTCCCACCTAGAGACTTACCAGGGAGGTTCATCAAGAAACCTAAAAAACAGCACAAGAAAGCTGGACCAAAAGGGAAGAGAAGGAATCTCAATGGATAGACAACGTTTTTTGTAGACAATAGATAAAATGTTGCATTAACAAAAAATACTGTAAGGCTTTATTGTGGGTCTTTGTAAAAAGACAGAAGCCTTTGATTACCTCTGTAGACTTCAAAATACATAACCTCAGGAGTATTACTCTTGAATCTTTAAGTATATAGCAACTTACTCATAACACTAATGGATAATTTACTAACTTTTGAAGGCCAGTTTCTCTAGAACCATTATAGTGTTCCTGGACATCTAGAACGATGAAGATCTCCTCACTGCAATGATAGTAGCTATAGTCTTTTTTTTGCTGTCTCACACAGCAGTCCCAGTTGCTTCCAATATTTTATTACACAAAATGAAATTCTGGCAGTGAGGTGGCTTGAAAACATAATGGATGTGGGGCAGAATTCTATTTCTCTTTGTGCAGGTTTCTATCCATCTACCTGGCTGTTTCTGGCCCTTGCTTTATGCTGTGGGCAAGTAAGCCAGCATGACTTACACATTAGACTGAACACATACAGTAGGACCATGTGTTGGCTGACCATGTACTCGGCTACGTGTACTCAGCTAAATCCCGCTCCCCCCTCCCCCAAATGACCAGGGGAATGGTGACCTTTCTGCATCTTGGCCCCAACCACTGACTGGTTAACACACTTGCACAGACAGCTGGAAACCCAGATCCTAGGGGGACTGAATCTGTATCTCTCCAAGCTCCTGGCACAGTGCTCTAATCAACATAGCACAACTGAAGCCTGTTCCAGCATCTTTTGAAGCTGAGCTATTTATAGTGGTTATAGTGCAGTAGCATTTAATAGTCACTGGATGGAAGGCAGTGACCAGGGAAGTTTCTGCCCCATTGGGGGCAAGACTCCAGGCTAGAACACAAGCCTCCCTTCCGCTAGAGCAGCAGCTCACTGAGCCATACTCCTTCTACCTTATGCTCCTCCTCCTGACCCCACATACTCCCTTCTCTTGGCTCCCCAGGATGCCAACTTCAAAAGAATACTAGAGAGGTCTCTGGGTAGTGTCTGACCTGTGATGTGATGATTAGACCCCGTTACTAGCCAATTAGAGAGAGGTAGCTTCAAACACTCTTTGTGGGAAAGGGGAATATCTCCAGCTTCATGGACAATTGTTAGGATCTTTGGGCTAAAACAGGAGAGGGTCCTCCTCCTGAGTCTCACACCTGATAGCCATGAGTTTCTGGTCACTTATATTTTCTGGCCTCAGATGAAAGTACCTGCCCAGAAAGGGTGGACATACGTGGCCATGTAGACTTCCATGCCAGCATGTGACTATTGCGTATGCTCAGTCTACACGCATATACACACTGCAGGGGTTAAAGCATTGCTTCCTGCATGTAAGGGTCAAAAATGTCACTTGCACTGCTAAAAAGCTGTCATTTGGCTGCACAAAGAATTCTACCCTGTGTCGAATACCTGGAGGATTGTATTTCTTTTGGCAGCTGCCCATCCAGAGCACAGCCCTACTAAGCATGCCCAACAGCAATACTGGATCACAAATTGTGCATAAATGACAAAAATCACAGTTATACAGCTATGCATGCACTATTTAGGCATATAAAGTGAAACCCAGTATATCCTGTAAGAGTCCACAATGTTTAGAATATGCCCTAAGGGAAAAGACCCAGGAAAAGGAAACCTAGCTAAATGGCTTGTTTGTTTGTTTTTTAAATAAATCAAATAGGCAAAAATACCTTCAATCCTAAGCACCCTCACACTAATGAAAAAGGTGCTAAGCTAATACTTCTGTTGTGCAAAGCAAGGCATATGGGCAGTAAGAAGGAACTGAGTTATGCTCTAGGCCACCTGCCTTCATGTACAAGTAATGATAGTGCATTTTGTGTAGGCATAGCCATAGGGAACAAGATTCCATATATATAAAGAGTGGAATAGACAATCAATCAAATAACTGCCCCTTGTATAGTAGGAGGATAACCCACTATATCTGAATGTCTGAGGGTCAGCAATGTAATGTATTTCACCTGTGCCAACATCTGAGTTTCAGGTGAGCATAGTTTGCAGAGCGTAGGAGTGACTGACAGTATTCTTTACTGTGTGGTACAGCTTATTTATCAGAAGTGTTAGGGGATACAGGAGCTGTTGCATGAGGATTTTTCCTACATTAAACTTTGCTGGATATTCCTTCTGATGTACCCGATGCTTAGTTTTGTATATCTAAAAATGTCCAACAGTAATACTTCCAGTACTGGATGATATCTGTACTAGCACAGAGTAAAGATGTGTATGTGGTATTGGATTACAGAAGATAGGTTATCACCAGTCTCAAATTGAGTACTGTTGGTAAAGAGACAAGTGGCTATATTACTCCAACTGTTTCCACTGAAAGTTTTTACTTGTCTCAAAATCATGAAAGGGAGCTATTGCATATGTGCTGTAATTATTTTCCAAGTGAAATATTTCAGCTGTTTTTAAACAGTTTTCAAGTAAAATTTGTTCCTTTTGAGGGCTAGCTCCTTGCCAAATTATGTTTTAAACAAATGAGCTGCTACGGTTTTACTTAATTTTTTAACTAAATTGTCAGTAAAACGTAGAGGATCTTCAAACACTAAAACAAAATAGACTTAACCACTTAGAACTTAACCCTACAAGGCCCTTTGTATCTCTGTAGGCTTCTGAACAGTTCAGATCCAGACAAGTTCATTCCATTAATTTGTTAAAGAAGGTTATTCCTAGTATATAGTTGAACGAGGCTAAAAAGTTATATTTCTACTTTCATCCTTTCGAACATTTTATCTTAAATTTTAACTTGATACAATTTGATAGCGAACTCTTAGCTTGCAATATAAACATTAACTGGACATTTCAACTATATAAGAATTAATATAAAGACACTGAAATTAGAGTTTCCTCCTCATTTCAGGATTCCCCTGTGCTGTCATTGGTTCCTTATGGATGCTCCTTGTTTTTATTTTTAAGCAATCCTCCCTATGCTTTACACTTCTACCTCCAAGAAACTGTTACAGTACCATCTTTTTAAGCAGGAGTGGCTGAGCTGTACTAGCTGTTCAAAAGGCTTATAATTACTGCACTATAACCAAAAGGGAACCTGTGTATGTCAAAACATACTACCTCCACACTCACTTGGTTTCTACTGGTTTCAGGTGCAAAAGGCCATAACCATAAATTTAATACAGGTCTACTACATGATAAAGTAGGCCCAAAACTACCAGCTCAGGAAATTAGATTTTGTGCCATGTTTAGCCAGAATTAAGTACTACACAATATTTTTGTACTAGTAAAATAATTGCCTTGGTGGTTAATGGATACACTTCCACTTCTCCCTAGTACTTACTCAGGTGGGCAAGGCTCAGTGTTGCAGGTTCTTTGGTTTTCTGGTGGCTTACTCTCAGGGTCACAGTAATTGTTCTGTACAATGGAGTTGTCATCCAGCCTTTTACACACTGCCTCTTGTTTCTGTGTACCTTGAAAAGAAATTGGACACCGCTGATTAGTAATGGCTACTCTTTTTCTACTTATTCACTGTGTCTACACGAGATGCTGACTGTGCAGTTATTACTGCACAGTCATTTATTACTTGTATATCCAAGTACTAAATTACTATGCAGTAACTAACATCACTGTTCAGTAGCATCCCCACGCAGTTTTCTGGTAATGCTGACTGCATAGTAGCTCATTATTACTGCGCAGTGGTGTCACATCACAGTTTGTGCCATGTGACACTACTGCACAATACTAACAAGCTACTGTGTAGTAGTAACAAGCTACTTTGCAGTAAGCGGCTTGTGTAGATGTGGCCACTGATCAGTAAAATTATGCTTCATTTACTAGCCATAAATGTTACAGTTCAACTCTAAAAAATATACAAATAAAAAAAAATTGACCAAATATGACCACAAAATATCTTTCAATTTACTGTAATTTTAGGCAACCACACTGCAAAGAGAATTCCAAATAATTGCTGTATTCTAAAACAAAGAGAATATATTTATAGGTTTAGTAACAGATTGTTTTTATTTGCATATTGCATGAAATCTATTTCCCATCTTTTTCCTCCCCCAGCAAAAAACTCCAATTCCAAGCAAAATATCAACAGATAGACTGTGGTCACATTTCAGTGCAGAATTATTGTTTATAAGTTTTGGGCATAGTGTAGGATGAAATGCCTTATTTTTAAACATTACATCCAATAAACATTGTTTCACTTAAATTATAAAACTGGAATCCATTCTGAGAGACACAGCTTGTGCCTTTGAGAGCTCATCATGCCTGACATTCCCAGTTCCTCTTTAATTACATTAATTAGCAAAGGCAGTAAGAAAGTGGTCGTTAGTCTTCCAAAACCAATAGTAAATTATTGTCCAAAAGGAATATTTTAAGGTAACTGGACTTTACTATTTAAACACCAGAATTCACAAGTGTAAATAAATCTGTTGGGACTGAAGTAACATTTTCATCTGATAATCCTTTAGACCATGGACATAAATGTGGTACATGCATGTTGAAAATTTATATTCAATATGCTCCCTTCCCCCACTTTTTTATAACAAGCATGTTGATTTCTTTCCTAGAGTTAAAAGAGCACAACGACCAAACGTATAAGTAGTTCTTTTATGTAGTGTCAATGTAATAACGGGATTATTTGTGAGCAGGTTGCAGGACTGGGAGCATAACTTGAAACAAAAACAAAGTTAAAAAATGTGTGGTTTGTTTTTTTTCTAAATTGTGAAATATCACAAAATAAATAGGAGTTAACACAATGTGGCTTTGAATTATCAACCAGTTTTTTTTTCAGAGCCGACTTCCCAGCTTTACATGTTCCTTTGCCCTTGAAGACAAGGGATTTACAGGAGATGGACTCTGACAGTGGTAAAATGAAGAATGAAGAAAAGAGAAGTGCACAGTGTTGTTTCAGCAAGCACATCATTTTAAATATATCTTTAAAACAAAGAATACTCAGGAATTCCAAATTATCCTGCAGGAGGAAAACAAAATCAGTGTTAACAACATCCCCTTAAACAACAGTTCTGGTTAACCATGAAGTCCATCAACTCTTTCCCTGTGATGGAATTTACAGGAAAATAGTGTGATACCATGTTAACTTAATCTGAAATATGATCATTAAACATGGGAAACTATCACCTCAAATGCTAGGCACCTAATTCTTTTTCTGACCTCAAGATAGTCACTAAAACACTGTCAGATTTCTTTTCATGCCTCCTGGTTATTTTACTTAAGATGTGTGAGTTCTAAACACTTCCCTCCTCTCCCTCCCCCAATATTAGGCACAAGAAGCTGAAGGAAAACCCATCAGGCCCACCAAGCTTGTGAGGCCAATGAGCCATCAAGTCAGTCAAAATAATATACCTCAGAGCTTCAGGAGGCATTATTTACAGTCTGCAAGGACCCAAGGGCCTTACAACTAAATTTAAAATTTTCCTCAAATTATTTTTAAAATACTTTTGCTTGTTTTAAACTAGCCAAATAAATTATCTAATCACTTCTTATTCACGGAGGCCCAAATCAACAAAGGGACATAGGTATAGAAACGCTCAGTGTTGCTTTGACTGACTTCTGGGCACACAGCTCTGATACTGAAATTCACAAATCCAAGTTAGACATAATTTTTCTATGGCAGCACAAATTGATAGGCAGTAATTATATCCCTTCCCAGCTTTCATTTTGCTAAACAAACCAAGCTCTTTCAGAATCCTCTCAGCTGATTGGCTCTCCATTCCCTTACTTAACCTAGTACTTCCCTAATTACTTCATCTTTCTTGAACATGGATGATCAGAATTGCACAAGATATTCTAGATGAGGTCTTACTAGTACTGTGACTCTAAATACTGATGCTGTGGCACCCTGGGGTGCCTTGAGACCTTTTCAAGGGTGGCACAGGATGACACACAATGTTAGCACTGTTATGTCTGCGAACATGATTCACAGGATAAACGCAGGGGGCATGTGCAGACGAGCGTGGCTGTATGGTATGTAGCACCACAAACATGTCTCCAGCGCCACATACTACACAGTCTGGTGGTCTCCGTGCTGCAAGGGCGTGCTGCCCACGTGTGTGCGACTCCAGGTTTTTTTCCCCCCTGGTTATCCAGGGGTTAAAAACAAACAAACACAGAAAAAAAAAACTGGAACAATGCACACTCAGGCAACGCGCACTGCTGAAAAGCAGAGTCGGGCTGACTGGAGCTGCGCTGTGGCTGCTGGGCAGGCTCTGCCCAGCAGGATCACCACAGCTGCAGCCCCGGGAGGCCCCCAGGACCCCAGGTAAGGCTGGTGGGGCCAGCACAGTGCTGGCCCCAGCCTCCCCTACTACCCCTGGGGTAACTTGCCATGCGCCAAAGCGCACATGGCACAGGCATTCCCTAGGGACAAGTAGGTGCAGTGCAAGGTGCACCGCTGCTAGATGTCCCCAGGGAATCAAATGTCCAGGCATGTCTGTATGCGCCCAGAGATTTCAAATAGGAATCCACAGTGTTAAAGACATTCTGACATGTTGTGGTCTTTCTGGGTTCTCAGCAACAGAAACACTCTATTATTTTTCTATAGTCAAAAAATAAGTGAATATTAAAACCCAGCATTTTCCAAGGGGTGCCTTGTATCTAAGGAGGGGTGCCATGTGTCTAATAAGGAGTCTAAAATGGCTGAGAATCATTTCTCTACTAGAAATAACCAGCTTTATACATCATAGAATTGCAGTTGCATTTTTCATCCTGCTACATCCCATGATGAGCTAGAGCACCTTCTCCTCATCATTTCCAGCTGATTAGTTCTGAACATATAGCAAAAATTCTTGGCTGCTTACAGACATAAACACCCCCCTGCAAATAGTGCTTTGCTTGAAACTCAGTTCACCCCCACCCCGAGCTCAGCGAATGCCCAGAAAAGGCATCTTGTTAGTTTGACCCAGCTTGCCCAATGTCTGTAGACTGGGCCCTTCACTGAGGCATTTTTGGAGCTTTTATCTAATAGCTGATTGATTCAGTACAGCGCATTTTTTTCACATCTGTCGGCAGTCCTTCTTATCAGTCCTAAACACATGATCTTGGACTTTGTGCTATTAAATTTCATCCCAGTTCTGTTATACAGGAGTTAAGGTCATACAGTCAACAGATATGCATAACTGGAACCAGATCTGCCAAGTCTGTCACCTAAGCAAGAGGAACATTTTTCTACTCAACCCCCACTGTGGGTAACTGTAAGTTCTTCATAGCACCAACGTGAGCACTAATGCTAATTGCCCTCTTTCTCCTAGAGTTGCTAGTTAACAGTTACTAGATGGCAAATAGACCAACATTTAATCCTTTCAATTTCTGAGCACACCGTTCTTCTCAGAACTGGAGAGTGCTACTCTAGAGATGACTTTATCCTCAATGGGCATGTCCAGATGAGCAGAGTCATGAGGTATGTGGTGCCGCAAACATGTTTTCAGCACCACGTACTGCACAATCCAGTGTCCTCTGTGCTGCCAGCGTGTGCTACTCCAGGATTTTTTTCCTACAGGTTTTATTTACCCCTGGATATCCAGGGTTCAAAAAAATCCACAGGAGAAAAAAAATGGAGCAGCACACACACAGGCAACACATGCTGCTGAAAATCAGAGCCCGGCTGTCCAGAGTGGCACTGTGGCTGCCAACCAGGCTCTGCCTGGTGGGATCAACATGGCTGCAGCCCCAGGAGGCCCTCAGGACCCCAGGTAAGGCTGCTGCAGCCAGCACAGTGCTGGCCCCAGCCTTCTCTACTGCCTCTGAGGTAACTTGCCATGAGCCAAAGTGCGTGTGGCACAGGCAGTCCCTGGGGACAAGTAGCTGTGGCACAAGGTGCACCACTGTTGGTTGTTCCTGGGTAAACAACCATCCACACAAGTCTGGATGCGCCCAACTAGTATCATTTTTAAAAGTAGTATTAAAATATTTTTAATTAACATGGGACTTTTTTGTTCTATAAATTCATGCACTGAAGGTCTTTATGAAGTTACATTATATTTTTTGAACAGTACTGATACATTCCTACTAAAGATCAGTAGACTCCTCCAAATTTCCCCCTAGCATCATATTCATCTCCCTAGGGCTTGTAGCTGAAACTTGGCAGCTATGAAATTCATTTCTGAAGAGTTTGTAGTAGGAAAGCACTTTGAACACAAAGTGTTCACAAAGCTTTACTGTGCTCAGCTTTCAATTCAATTTTAAACCGCCAGGGTTGCTAAGTCCAATATAGGTAAAGTTTCATAAAGCAAACAAGACAGTGCTCACCACTGTCCATTCATACAATGAAGAATCTTTAATCCATACCAGGCAGACAACCCAGATGAGGACTTCCTGGCCAAAAAATATGTTGATCCAGTGTTAAATAAGCTACTTAGTAGCACCTTGCAGTACAGAGTATATTTTACGACTCGAAAATGAAGACATGGATTAAGGAAAGTTTAAATCATTACCACAAAATTGA